GGTGCAATAGGGTGTCTATGTAGTCCACCACTAGTAGTGGTTTACGTACTTCCCGCCGCTGACGAGCATTGTATTTTGTTGATGTTATAAACATTACCATTTCATTTTCCAACCTCGATTTTGTTTATTCCTCATTCAGTAAGCATCTACAGGTTGCAACATATACCTTACCAATTAAGAAAACATATGATGCTTGCGTTGTGTTCTCTTTCTATGTACTTGTAGGGTGTTAGCAATGATGGCTGCCCATAATGTTCTGTACTTTGTGGATCTCAGTAAATTTTGTGTTTTTGCCATCACTCTATTTATAGAAGCTCGTTTGTGATCTGTTTTCAACAGTGCCACTTCAGTATATCCTGTGATTGGCTGATTTTTTTAAGACTTCTTTTTTTATGTTTTACCATAGCAATTTTATTTGTCTTTTTCTGAGTGTTCTGTTACGTTGTTTTAAAGTTTCTCAACCTAATCGACCAGTTATTGTAGAGATTTTATAAGCGTAGCTTAGATGTGGCACAAGGGCGAAAGTATGGGGCATCCAGTGAGGATCAAACTCACTTTTCAGTAGTAACTGTTCTAGCAAGACAAGTTAGCTAATCAGTACACCACGCCAAGATGCCCAAGACCCGTTATTGTATAGCAATCTGATAGAAAATAGTACATATATGATTTTTCAGTTAAAAGAATAAATCATGCCTACGTCTTGTTCGTTTTTTATGTAGCTTTAGAAATTTGGTGATCATGGCTCCCAACAATTTCGTATAATTTGTATCCCTTAGTAATCTTTGCCTTTGTTATAACTCTCCTGTACCCGGTTCCACCAACTGTTTACACAGGCTCCTTAGATAGGTTATGTGTTTAGGTTTGTTTTGTTTTACGGCTTATCGACCTCTATGGGTTATTTAATGCGACAAAATTTTTATTTTTGGTAATGTTTTTTTTCTTAAAAAATGTATTGCTGGTAATATTTTTTTTTCAAAAATGTATTGCTGGTAATATGTCTTTATTTTTTTTTCAAAAATATATTGCTGGTAATTTTTTTTTCCCAAAATGTATTAGTGGTAATATTTTTTTTTCAAAAATGTATTGCTGGTAATATTTTTTTTCAAAAATGTATTGCTGGTAATATTTTTTTTCAAAAATGTATTGCTGGTAATATTTTTTTTTCAAAATGTATTGCTGGTAATATTTTTTTTCAAAAATGTATTGCTGGTAATATTTTTTTTTTCAAAAATGTATTGCTGGTAATATTTTTTTTTCAAAATGTATTGCTGGTAATATTTTTTTTTCAAAAATGTATTGCTGGTAATATTTTTTTTTTCAAAATTGTATTGCTGGTAATATTTTTTTTTTTCAAAAATGGACTGCTGGTAATAATTTTTCAAAAAAAGTATTACTGGTTATAAAACCTATTTTTTATATTTTCCAATATTGTCTTTTGGGGTGTCAACTATTAGCACATAGCTGATACCCTGACAAGTGTTACCATCCCGCGTCAGGTTGGACCTGGTAAAACCAGCAATTAAGATGTGGTTCTCCGCTTGGAAAAAGTTCCTGATCAAAGGACTTGCTGTTGGATGTAGTTTATCGTCATACCCAGGACTGGGTTTGATTATGGGATATTTTCATCCGTTCGTTTTACCTTCAGTATGCTCTGTACGTATCAGATTTTCCAAGAACGCACTCCACATTATGCGTTCTAGAATTTTTAACTACATCTTTCTGATTGTTTTGTTAATTTTTTTTTTGTAATTTCTCCTTCAAAAAGATCAGTTATATATCAGTCTGATATAAAAATCCTACACGCTCCCTTCATCAAATAAAAACAAACAACTCAATGAGACATAATAGATACATTATAGATTCTTCAGTGATCAAACCTGTTGATACGCCAAGAGTCATAACATAACCATGCTAGGTGGTGCTTTTGTTGATGTAATAAATATGCTACCAGATCGCTGGCAACATTTCTCTATTTACTTACATTACTTACATATTTACTAACATTAATCTTCAGGCAAGTAATGACGTTTTAAACATTCTGTCACTAAAAGACTAGTTATTTTTAGCAGTCACATGCAAAGATCCACAGATTTGTTTCAAATGATAAAAAAAAAAAATCAAATAACTGTAGGTTGAATATTGACTAAAGGTAAGTATTATATTGATAAATATATCGCCTTCAAATTTAAACTGCCCTCTACCAATCATCTGATAGCACCTTTTTTATCTTTAGTAAGTTTAATCAGTTTGATAAGGTCGAATTGGCAGCTGATCTCAAAAATGACCTACAATCTGGTGTTAACTTGGGGCAAGGAAGGGCTTGTTAATGTTAATGCCTTGTAGGGAAAGAGATAATCAGCTACCTCGAAAAAGAGTCCGTGTTTTGTGTTCGATCAGCCGAAGAAAAACTATGAAAAAGTAGTTAGAAAAATCTACTGTAAGGACCAGAATCTATGTTCTTCCATCCGTTCAATGGCGGGACCAACCAGAAAAATCTCTCGATAAATAAAGCCGTTGTGTTTCAATGATGTGGAAGATTTGATTTTTTGAGCTTGATGGACGAACACGCCTTTTTTGCTGGTGAGAATTAAAGGTTGGATTTGTGACCCCATTTTGTCGTTTCTACGTTGTCGTTTGAACTGTGATTTGGCTACAAGTGTTGCGGTCGAGAGACAGAAGAAATCTATTGCAGACGTTTATTACTGTTATAAGTTGACTGTTTTTTTTTTGTGTAATCATCTGAGACAACCAATTTTATCTTCCATCAGCATGGCTGATGCTAACCTCCAGGAGAGTGACTCATTCCACCTTCTTGAGCTAACATTTTCCGCTGAAATGAAGTGAAAACTTTATACTGAATCAATTGCTAGGCCTGCTGATAGGAAAGTTGGTTCACTGTGTCGTTGTAGGCATAATCTATTGCACATATTTTTAAGTCTACAATTCGTGTATGCTTTGAATATTAATGCCACATCTGGCCTCTACCCCTGCCACATAGTTATATGTACTTGTCAAAATCCCAAATAAGAATATGCAATGTTATTGGTCCTGGTCTGGAATCTCGGGTTCATTCACGAGCGCAGTATTAGATTGACATCAAGTCATCATTAACTTTCAGTCGAATTGGCAAGATGCAACCTTAAATGCTGTGCTAATATTTTCTTTTCTCGCACTCTCACCCGGCTTCTTGCTTTCCAGCCAACATTGATCTCCAGGAATTTAAATCCAATCTCAAGTTTTATCTTCTGTCTTCATAATTTCAGTTCTTTTATTGATCTCGTACCTTAATTATATTTTTATTTTTATTATATACTTTGCGTCTTAGAGACTTTATTGCCTTGCTTGAGATGAAGATAAATAAAAATTATCAGGAGTTCGTTGATCAAACCTGATGACTGACTCACCAAGGGCCACAATATGGCAATGCTAGTTGTTGCTGTTGTGTTTGATGAGTAAGGTGGTATTAACGTCTTGGAGTTGCTGGCCATTTTTCTCAATTACTTTGATCCAGATTTATCTTTCTCCTAGACTGATTGCCAACTAAATATTGAGTGTATTTAATAGGAATATATATTTTTTACTCTAGTTCCCTCAGTACAAGACCCAAGAGCTACTCAAAGTAGAGTTCTACTAAATAAGGTTATTCCAAGCGTGGGCAGGGCCGTGGAGAGAGGTGTACACAATGATGATATTTAGGGTGGTCAATAGATGACCTTGAATTTGTAAAGATTAAAATTGTAGTAATCGATTGTTGAAATGTTGAGTGTTTCCGCGTGCGTGTATTGAAATAAGGACAAACACATACGTACGGAAAAATACTGGTATATCTGAAGAGGTATTTACAACAGAGAGATTAGTAGTCAAACGAACGCAGGTTAGTCAGTAACAATCAGAAAGAGTATAAAGTCCAACTGTATCTTCCGGTAGAGAGACGGAAGTGTGATGGTCACATGATCTCCCAGAACTCTCTAGAACTGTTCTATTAGTAGTAGAGAGATCAGTCCATTCTGATGAGAAGGTGGGTGGCCCCAATATCGATGAAGCATCCTCGAGCGTATCCGTTCCACAATCCAACAGCTTTGATGACGACGCTGGCTGATTGAATATGATGGGAATGAGAATTAATTCACCCTGTGTCCGTTGGATGGCGGTTCTAAGGTGTCAAGGTCTGGACTGGGGAATTCCAAAGAATATAGAGCGCTCGAATATTTGCCATGAAATTAGCGATAAAATATCTAAGAGTTTTGCAACTTATAGTCTACGGGAAACGGGTTGTAGGGTGGAAAACTATTTTTTTCACACAAAAGTTTGTGTATAAAGTCTTTTGAATTCTGTCTCGGCTTGAAAGCGGCGATTCGGCAGCTCTATAAACAACGTCGTATAAATAATCTGTTTTGGTCTTTTAAAGATGTTTATGTCATGCAATAACTGGAATGGTACAGGATAAATTGTAACTGCGTCTTCAATTTGAGGTCTGGGGTGAGCTTATGCGCAAATAGAGACATTCCATTTTTTATCTGAAATAACAAACATTTTCTATCAAGAATTGTGAAACCTATTTTCTTATTTCCGCGATGTTACCTCAATTACTTTTATTTAAAGATACATTAAACATATCTGAAAAATGTTATGTTCGTTATTCATAGCTATTTGCAAATTTGAAAAAGAGAATCGAATTTAACTAGGGGCTTATCCATTTTTTTTATTTCCTTAGACGAAGTGAATAATAACATTCAGGAGACACTATACTTTTTCAAAATTAAAATTAAATTAAACCTCTACCCCGAAATGAGCCATCTTTTATGCTGAGAGGGTCTGAGGCTAGAGTTGTGCAGTCTTGTAAGAGACGATTTAGCGATAGTAAAATTCATAGACAGATTTTTATCACGAGACCTTCTTCTAAATCCAGACATAAATCGTGAGATAAAATATTTCAAATATTAAAATGAAAGAAATATGAGGCAAAAATTTAAAATAACTAATCTTTTGTTTGCGTTTGTTCAACACAGAGAGAGAGAGAGAGAGAGAGAGAGAGAGAGAGAGAGGGACAAAGAAAATAGATCTGATTGAGCAACAAATACAATGGCTGCCAGCTCATTGTCGAGTATGACAATCGCCAAGTATCATTCAAAGATTCAGTTGTTAATTACCATATCCAAAAATGACTTTAAGTTATTTTTTTCAAAGTGGAGAAAGACGTCGCGATGGTTCCATCCCACTTTCTATATACGAGCAGCACTTACCCATAAAGAAGAACCAGAAAAATACATTGGATTTTGTCAAGCAAAGGTGTTACCAAGGCCGGCTCAAGGTACTGCCATGTGGGACAGTCGCCTAGGGCTCTATCAAAACTGAGGGCGCCATCATGCTACCAGGTGATCTGTTTGGAATCTTCTGAAACTAAAGCTCATTAAAACATTCATGCAACCATCCATGACTCACGACAGATGTAATTCTTTGACTATTTTGTCAATATAAAATGACCTTGTAAAAAAGTTACGTGTAGAAGGTGCTATGAAATATTTGCATGTCTATAGACTAGAAAATGTTTTAGGTGGGATAATAAATGTTTTATTTAACTTTTAATAAGTTGTATATTGCAATAAATACTTTATTTTACATTTCTAGTTTTTTATCCCTGTGAACATTAATATATATATATATATATATATATATATATATATATATATATATATAAAAGTGAACATAAATATGCAATCGACAGTCTGTTTCATTGCTATATACAATCGTCACAGACGATTCGTCTCTAAGTGACTGACTTCTATGTTCACTTTATATTTACATTACGCTCCATCTCTGATATTGAGCACTTTATCCCATAAATATAGCACACCTTAAGACTATATTTCTTTATATATATATATATATATAGTTGTATATTTAGACAACAATCCTTCCTTTATGCATGTTTCATTAAAACGACAGACACAGTACTACGGTTAAGCTTTTTATTTAATTTTTTTTTTATTTAATTTTTCTTGTGTTCGAACAAGAGCTTTCTTTTCTGGACAAACCTTTGCCCAGAAAAGAAAGCTTTTGTTCGAACACAAGAAAAATTAAACAAAAAACTTAACCGTAGTACCTTGTCTGTCGTTTTTAATGAAACATGCATATATATATATATATATATATATATATATATATATATATATATATATATATATTTGTAAGGGCGACGACGTTTAACTTGGCCGGTGTGCCAGCAGATCTGGAGTCGTCACAAGGTTTTTCTACTCGTGGGATAACTTAACGGAGGTTAATGGGTCTGAAATTTCATCTGAGCTTACTGCGCGCCTGGACAACATCCAAAGTGTTTCAACACTCCACCTGCTATTGCTAGATGGCCATTGATCAAAAGAATGTATTCGTTCGCCTTTTGCTTATGTTGTTAATCCTGTTGGGTTTCTGCCTATGCTCCTGACCAGAAAACATTAAAGGTAGCGATTTGTAGTATTAGGTTACACAGAAACAGAAGCACTCTCACAATGATAAAAATATGCTGTAGTAGTTACTATATAGTTTCATAAGTTATCTCTTACCATCTTTGCAAAGCAATTTCGATCACGAGCAAGAAATCTTTCTGTATATGATATGCAAGTTTCTCGTTTCAACATCAATGAACAATGATTTTGATGTAGGAAAAGCCATGCCTCTTAATAGGCACTAAATAATCAGATAAAATAAATTTGTGTTGTTGTAAACCTACCTGCCGTTCTTTAAAAGAATTTACAATCTCTGATTAAATGGGGCAAGAAATGACTTGTAATTTTAACGCCTCCGAAAGAAAACTTCTCTAATTTAAGCACAATAAAAAACCTCTCTCTGCCATCAGCATGGCTGGGGCTAGACTCCAGGAGAGTAATACACTACACCTTCTTGGTCTGATGTTTTCAAATGACTTGACGTGGAGCGACTGCATCGAAACAATAGATACATCTACTGCGAGGAAGTTGGGTCAGTGTCGTACAAGAAAAGCTTTCTCGTTAGAATCCACATTGCAAATATAATAAATCTATTATTCTTCCGTGCATTTAATACTCCGGCCATATCTGCTCTAGTGCTTCTGCTGTTCAACTCGGAGTTCTTGAAATATCCAAAGATGGATCTGTAATGTAATCAATCCTGACAGCATGTCGATTTCAGTCAGTTTCTCACCGATTTGCCGTGGCTTCCATCCATGTTTTCTACAAATATTTTCCTGGCAACTACTCCGATATAATTTTTTGTCCATGGAGCACAGAGTACATGAATTTAAACCAGGTACCTTAAATCCTCTGTCACTGACCTCGTTAGCATCGAAACCCTTAACTTCTCAATCACTCAATTCTCACGCAAGTGGTTGACTTCCCCACGCGTTTCCCAGTAACCCTAACGAAAACGCTTCTCTTATGCTATTTTTTAACACTGTGCCTGACTTCTGTTGTACTACACAGATCTGTCCTCTTGGCAACTCTGATCACGTGTTAATCTCTGTAAACATCTCCTTCCACCCACGACCCTCCTACCAACAGAATATCCTTCTGTTATCAATGAGCAGTGTGGGGCTTGTTCCATGATTTCCTTCGTGACGTCCCTTGGAATGAAGTTTTTAATTATCCTGTTGAAAAATGCGCGTCTGGGTTCTCCACCTGGGTGAAAGTCGCCATCGATGTTTTCGTTCCAGCAAAGAAATACCAAATTAAACCGCGTTCATCCCTATGGTTCTCCCCTGCATGCACGCCCGCTACAACCCACAGGAACCACTCCTTCGGACTGTGCCAGAGAGAGACATATCTTATTGCAACAGACGTCTATTTGTCTCTACTTGTACCAAATATAAGCGTCTCCTCAATGAAGCAAAGTTACTGTTTGCTAATAGGTTAAAACAACGCATAGCATGTCGCCAAAAATACATATACAAATAATAAAAAAGAGTGTAAAACGATGATATGTCTTTTCACCAGAGAACTAGACAGTGAAGCGATTCTGAGATAATTTTAACTTTAAACGGGATTCATTATTGGCGATGACACAGTGTTGATAGCAGATATACAAAGGGAACAATAACAACTCCTACAAGAGGTTGATTGTTGATTTTGTTTTGCAGCATATTGACATCTATGGGGAAACTTAATGCCGAAATCTAAATATGTCATAAGCAATTGTATGGCTTCACCTAAATCTACCTTAAATGGAACTGTATGCCTTCAACTACAGAGAAAATGTATTGTTGGACATTTTGCTTTAAATATGTGATGTTAGGCATTTTGCTTTAAATATGTGATGTTAGGCATTTTACTATAAATAGGCATGGTTAGTTAATTTGCCTTAGCGGCACATCAACACCTATGGTCTGCTTCCTGTTGACATTTATCTAGAACACAATTATATGGCCTCCAATTAAATATATTTTGAAAGCAACTGTATACACTCAACTAGAGGTAAAATACGTTGTTGGTCAATTTGCTTTACATATGTATTTTTGGCAATACAGTTTAACCCGGATATAAGAGACCCGGATATAAGAGAAACCCGGGAATTCCAGGTTTTCTGGGATGCCTCAATCATACTGGAGTAGTCAGGCAGATATTAAGAGAAGCTAAAGAAAAGAAGGTCGGGTAAATTTGTTCAGCAGCATATCAAAACCTGTATGGGTCATTTAATACCGAAAATACTGTAAATATCCCACATTTTTTTTTTTTTTTTGCTTTCAACTACAGATGCCGTGTACATAATTTTATACACTCAGGATAAAGGTATGTGTTTTAGATATACACTTTCGAGATTCATAAAATGCATTGTTGGTAACTTGACTATAGAAATATATTTTTATACCATTTTATTGTTGCATTGATTGTCGTTATCCTATAAGATATATTGGCCAATTTATTATAAAATGCATTGTTGATTTTGGTTTGTGGATTCACTATCTGCCCCATAGATGAGACCCTAACAGGTTCTACCACCCCAGGGCCGGTGTGGAACTGGGAACAACTTCATTTAATAGGTGTTTCCACGCTTCTGAAAACTTTCGATCCCAGGTCTTACTGCCAGATGTAGTTCATCGTCCTACCCAGGGAAGGGGGGTCTTACAGGAGGTAGGAAGAATTACGAATTGGAGATATAGCAATCAAACAAGTGCAACAATTTACATATCTGAGAAGTGTTTTAGCGGAATAGAAGGCGGGAAATGCGACGGTGAAAGACGAAGATGCAATGGGACAGCGAAAGATGCCTTCCAAAACCTAGGCAAATATTAAGAAAATTATACTTAGCACCACGAAGAAATCCAAAATATGAATACTTATGTCGTAACTATAGCCCCACCCTTACTCTCTTTAGTTAGACCTCGGGAGCGTAATCAAGAACACACTTTTCTATCAGTGTTAGGTTGGTGCATAATTATCACGCGTTTTTGTAGGCAAGTTATTTTCTGATGTGATTATTTTTTTAATAAAAATATTATTCTATTTTCAGGCTATAAAAATGCTTGTCGATAATCATACGCTCCGGAATAATCATTTAAAAATGTTATTGTTGAATTATATTTCTTTTTCATAATAAATATTGTTTAAAAAATACGCCTGATAATTATGCACCAACCCAGTAGATACATGTTTTGGGTATGTTTAGATTATCAGTACCTATCAGCCCCCATTTCTGTTTTATTTAACTAACACCCTCTCTATACAAGTCCCAAGACACACTAATTATAAAATGCTTCTGTAGTAGGTTGTTGTACGAGCATTGTGATTAGCGGGCAATAGGTAAATTTTCATTAAAATATGTGGGAAAGATAACCGCCATATCTAGACTTAAAGAGGTTAACATTGTAATAATAGAGAAAGCATCGTCAGTTCCACAAAGCACAGTTTGGCGCGAAAAAGCTGTTCAAGTGGAGCATTCTTCCTAGTAATGTAAGTACCTCCAGAAAATTTTCGATACCTAAGGTTTAAAATGAATATTTAGAAATGAAAAAGCATTTTTGAATCTTTCTTTTTAGCTTTAATTGAAAGCTAAATGATTAAATTTACTATTTTGGTTGCTTTCAGAAAATCGATA